ATATAAGCAAATCTAATTCTCCTGTGTCTAGAGAAACTGTATAATGAACCATATGTATGTGGCTTAAGTAGACAGATGTGGAAGATTTCTCTTTCTCCTTTTATTTTTTTCCTTAAAAACTGCTGGCAGGGCTCACAATTGGCACCAAGTAGCAAATACTTCTGCCCAACCAACAAACCACTAGAGATGGAGTTAAACTGGGGGAGGCTTCGGGGGGCACTTGGAAGTGCAGCGTGCACTGCTTTTGGCTTCTCTTTGGAAGCCCAAGGCTGCACAGCTCGTCGACCCCCATTTCTTTATGCCTACACTCTTTCCCTTACACGTCCTCCCTTAGGTGACTGAATTTTCAGATCTTTGTCTGAAAAATTGTGTCAATTGTTGTATTTGACTTTCAGGTTCATTGGAGGAGATCGTTCCCTGCATCTGGGCCCCTGGCTGCTGACGTTAGTCCTGAGCTGCCCACCCGACTCTGGAAAGGGCCTTTCTCTGGGGGTGGCCCCCTGCGCCTTGTCCTTTGGCCCGGGTGACTGATAGGCCTTAACTGATCTTCCTACCTTTCAGTCTCCCCCGCTCTGTTCTCCTCACTGACGTGATCTTTCTGGAACCGAAATATGATCATTCTGTGTCCTGTTTAATACTTATCTGTGGCTCCCTGTTATCTTCTGGATACGGTCTAAACCCCTTAGCCTGTTGTACCTGGGCCTTCGTGATGCAAACCTTGCTTTCTGTCTGGACCTTTTTGAGACCTCGCCACTAATACCCGCTCTGCGCTGGTAGACTGTGACATCTATATGTAGCTCAACTTTCAGAATGTGGCCATTCTCCCTCTTTTGGGGGGGATATCTTTGCAAATGCTGTTTCTTTTGCTTGCCTTGCCCTGCATGTTTCTCAAACTCGAGTATGCTTTGAATCATGTTGAGAGCATGTTAAGCCACAGATTCCTGGGTTTCACTTCCAAACTTTAAGATTCACTAGGTGTGAGGTAGGGCCTGAGTTTCTGTATCCTAACACGTCCTTAGGGGTTGCTGATGTCAGTGGTCTGGGGACTGCCCTCAGGTGAAGCTCTGTTTACCATTGAAGTTAACTGCTATGAGATGGCCTGCTGGTCTTTCTCCCTCTCGGAACTCAAGGCTTCCTGGGAAAAAGAATCTATTTGTCCATTAGTCTATCCTTTGTGTCCAGTGTCTGGGATGCTGTTGGTATCCAATAAGTATTTGTTGAATGAATGACCCACTGGTCACTGTTTATGACGCAAAGTAAAATAATTTTGCTTCTCATAGCTGCCTTTTGCAGGATTTTGGTCTAAGGGTATGTCGAATGTGATCTACCCCTTCCATATGCCCCTGTCTGTTCCTGAAATGCTTAATGGATATGGAACTTAGCGACTCCCCGTAGAGATCAGAGACCACGGGCATACTATATATAGGAGGACAGATGGGGACTTCTTTTGATCCAAACTTTAAAATATGGCTTGGACTTCAGGTTTTCTTTCATTAAGCACGATACAGAGTAGTGCTGCTGCATCTCTTCAGTAGGAGACATACTCCTGAACTCCCTAGACCCGCTCAGGAAGTGGGCCTCACACTGCCTGTGAGCACCTGTGATATGCCTGCAGAATAAAGGAATAGATGTTTCGTCTCTGGTCCTTCAGGTTGAAACCCAGGTTGAAGATATTCAAGAACATTCCAAATGTCCAAACTGTGATTCTTATCATAGTTCTAAGATTCATATTTTTTGATGCTCAAATCAATTTAGTTTATCAAATTAATTAAAAACATGCTGCGAGCAGCAGGGGGAAAGAGACGGGCCAGGTAGGTTATCATGTTCACTGGAAGCCAGCAGCAGGCCCGTACTGTGTACAGGTACCATATTTTGCCCTTACTCTTTGTTGTAAGGCCTTTTTGGTATTAGGGAGCATGACCTCTCCTTACCAGTCTGCATACTTGAAAAGGAGAAGGAGGGATTGGGGTTCTCATGGGGATCCAAGAAGGGAGAGACGTGGAGGGACTCAGTGGTCCTGAGGAGTGGGAGTTCTTGGTTACTCATGCTGTTCTGCCATTAGTGGCTTTGCCCTCGTGGCTTTGTTTGCTTCACTGTCCTCTGTTCTGCCGGCAGGTGTCCTCATCGTTGCTCTTTCTAGTACTTCTCTGCTTGCCTCCCAGCTCCTGCCACTGCTGGGTTCTGCCTTCTCGCGAGTCTAAGTCCCCCTGGCCGGTGGTCTACGTCATGGCCCTGCTGTGCCTCTGTTAAGGGTCTGCTTTCTCTGCTGTGGATCTTTCTGTTGCTTCTCTGCACCCACAACAACGAGCATTTGGCCTGTGTTGTTCTTGCTAGGGAAGAGCTTTCTATGCTAAGGCATCCCAGAGTCAGCATTTGTGTACCCGCCCACCCTCACTGGGACTCAGGCGAGGCCAGGCGTGAGGTAGACTGCAGAGCTGTGCGACGGGTAGTGCCCTCTGTAGTGACTGAGGGCATGGTTGGGACATTGGACAATTCTTTGGGGGCAGTGGAACCTGATGATGGTTGGATTTTGGCAGGCTCGGATCAGAGGAAGCATGTTCTAGGAAGAAGACACAAATCTGAGCTCTGGGGAGCGAGCATGTGGGCAGTCAGAAGCCTGTCACGAGTGAGCTGGGGGAGGCTGAATTATGAGGGACCTGAAGGCAAGTGGAGGAGGTGGTTTTTTTTGTTTTTTGTTTTTTTGTTTTAGACAACAGGTCATCTTCATAAGCTTTTCAGCAGAGGAATCACTTTCTCCTTTCCATTCCTGACTCCTGCTGTCAGAATAGACTGGCCCTGATTCGAGGCCGCTGTTGCTCAGCAGTGAGGTACCATGGGAGAGGAAGCAGAGAGAGCAGATGGTCATGGGATTGGACAACAAACATGGCCTGACGTCGGCAACAGCAGCTGGCCACGGCAGCTTCATTTCTAGGCAGGAGGGTGTGTTCTGGGGGAGCAGACGTAGTCAATACCCGGCAGGATTTTTACTCCTTCGTTGGCAGGGCAGTGGTGTGACAGAGCTGCCCACCCGTGTCCTGTCCGCTTCCTGAACCATCTCTGCTATCTTAATTGTTCACTCATAAGCATCCGTTCTTGTGAATCCTGCCCATGCCCAGTCTTTTAGGTTCTTTTATTCCAGCCATATCTGTCAGTGCCCATCCGGAGGGCAGCGCCCCTGTGAGCTGTAGTGTATTGTAATATGGTATGTAACCTGGTGCAGCACACGCTGGCACTTCCATCCTGTGTCCGACCCCTGGAACTGGGGCAGACATCAGGGCTTTCAGAAACTGCTGCTGGAGCATTTGAATTTGATTTTGGAATTTGGGGGGAGCATTTTGGAAAGTTGGGTGGTCCATGGGGGTGCTCAGACTGACTTTGGTTCTTCCTTGCTTGCCTTATTTATATAGTTTATTATCAGAATGATGAGGGGTTTCTGAAAAAAAAAAAAAAAAATCCGGATGGATACAGCCCAGTTAAAAGATCCTGATTTGTAAGAACCTGACTTTGAGCAGATTTTTAATCAGCTTGCTGCCCGCAAGTCACTGAAGGATATGGGCATACACCTTTTGCTCTCTGACCTCAGTTCCCTCATCTGGAAACATGGTTGTAATACCTGCTCTGCTTCCCTCTCAAAACCTTTGAGGTAGTGGTGTGTGTAAATTTCAGAACATTCTGTGAATTTAAGGTATTCACTCAGATAGCGGCTTCTTAGGCTTAGAAAGTTGGTTTGCTTTAGTGCAGTCCCACCTAGTATGAAAACTTCAAAGATGACATCTCAAGGTTATATCACAGTTCAAAGTTTTATGGTCTTCTTTTTCTTCTGAATATTGTTAGAGAAAAACAGGTGTTCCTGGGAAAAATTACTTCCTGGAATGGTATGTGTGTTGGGGCTGGTGGTGGGGACAAGGGGCAGGGATTGTCTGCTGTCTTTTCTAGGGACAGTGAGCAGAGCGCCCTTCTCATGATTGGTTTCTTGCTAGTGTGTTCAGAAGCAGGCAACTTGATGGCCTGATGACATTACTACTTCTCCATTTCTCCTCTAGTCCCTTTTTGTCCTAGAAGCTCACCCTCTTCTGTTGGTTCACCTCTTGGTTCCATGAACGTGACCCTTGGCAGGTAACACAGAGTTTCAGGATCGAGGGGAGCAAGGTTTCCTCCCCCCGAGAATCACCATTTTTGCTGCTTTTCCCAGTGCTTAGCAGTGCTTTGTTTTCTCCTACTGTAGATCTCTGCTTCCTTCTAGCCTTCCATCCTCAAATTTGGCTTGCACGCCCCCTAGTGGCAGGTGTGATGCACCCCTCGTTACCCTTTTTATTGTTCTCTCTCCCCCCAGAGTTATTATTAAGTTTTAGCCTCGATTCACATATGTGGATTGAGAGGTTCAGTGGTCTCGCTTCCTTGGACCTGGGACGTGGGATTTGAACTGGAGCTTTTGGTTCCCAGATCTATGTAATGGAAATACCTCCGAACAAAGAGACGTGGTAATAGCACTTGTAGTTTTTCATGATTTTTAAGGGATCCATCTTATCTCCGCCCCCCACAAGAAGATATTAAATAGCTTCCTGATTACACATGATAATGGATGAATCACAGACTTCATCCCCGTCTGAGACTTTATCTGGTACCACAAGAATCCAGATTATCTTAATGTCTACCCCGCTAATCTGAAAGGTTAAAAATGTGTTGGATAATTGAGGGTAAGAGTGAGCGTGTTTTCTTACCCTTCCTTCGTCATACTGGAAAAGCTTTCATCATTTACCAGGTACTTGATATTTCTTGCTCAACCTTGTTAGCAACTCAGAGGGATACAGAAAAGTATAAAACATGATGTTTACCCTTCAAAAGTTTACATTCTACTTATGAGTCACTTAAATTTATTCACTTGAGAAAAATAAATGAGTGATAACTTTTATTGGTGTTTCATGAAAGACATCTCACTAAAGACAGACTCTCTGAGCATTTGCTTGCTTGCTTATTTATTTATTTATTTATTTATTTAGTCCTTTTCAGTGGAGAGAGAACCACAAGATAACACCAATTACCCCGAAGAGCCCTGGAGGATAACAGAAGAGCAGCGCGAGTACTATGTCAATCAGTTCCGATCTCTGCAGCCAGACCCGAGTTCCTTCATTTCAGGTAACGAAGCCTGACGGGTGAGAATGCAGGTCCCTGTATCAGTGTCTCACATAAAGAACAGTCCATGTCTTGGGAAATAGTTCACACAGAATGAATATGACAACCTTCTGTGATTTCAATTCGTTTTCCTTTAAGATTGAATTTCTTACCAACCATAAACCATGCAGAAAAAACACTTCACAGTGACATCAGGAAATTAGGTTTCCCTTTCAAAGGGGTTAAGTGGGAACTTGGGGGAACCTGGTCCTCACCCTGCACCCTATTGACTGGAGTACTTCTTGAAATGATGGACCGTGGTGACACCGTTAATTGCTTACTCATTGTATTAAGTTAGAGCAAGGGCTTACTGTTGCCTTCTGAAAGTTAGTGTCACGAGTCTCCTTATGTTATATACACATTAGAAGTTCAAATTCATGCTTGCTTTTTTTGGCTCAAATCTTTTGCCTTTGGGTTTTCTGAGATAAAATATGGGAGGAAAATTGGCCAGCATTTTTATGTCCACATGTCAGTTCTTTTGAGTTGTCTTTAGAAATATGTGTTCCTGTTGAGTTCTCATATAAAATTCAAGCCGAGAGGAATTGATTTTATTCCTGTGTGCCTGCATTTTACTGGACTGAAGGCTAACCAAACAGTGAAAGAGTCTGGAAGAAAAAAAAATCATAAAACTTTCTTCTTATACTTCAAACTTGAAGAATAACAATATACCCTCGAAAACTCTAATCTTGCTATTAAAGTGTGGACTAACACTAATTTTCTCTTGTGAAATAAGGTGTGTAGTGAAGTATAGTTGTATAAATGCAGACATTTTCTGATTAGCAGTGATAGCTTTACTGAAGTAGACTGTTGTAGAGACAATAAATTAATGTTGATAATATGATTTAAAAAAATAAGCAGAAATCCAGATGCACCTATTGATCGTTGCTCACTTACTCTCTGCTTAGGAGAGTGTCTGCACAACCCATACAGGTGTTTTGCTAAATACTGACAGGTAGTTGTTCTGAATGTTTATTTTTCTTTCAACTTTCTGGTTTGCCAGAGTTTCAAATATAGCTGCAACTAGAGCACCTATCACACAGTTCCCATGGCTTTATCTCTGTCCTCTTTCAGCCTAGATGATTTTGAAGCAATTATTAGACTCATTTGAAAATATTTCAGGCTGTATCTCTAAAGATAGGACCTCTCTTAAAAACATAACTACAGATTAATATTTAAAAAAAGAAACACGAATTTTTTATTATCATCAAGTCTTCAAAGATTAGTTTGATCAAGGTCAAGAGAGGTTCATATATTGCAATTAGTTGTTATCTCTTTTATTTAAAAAAAAAAACTACTGAGATGCAATTCATATACCATAAAATCCACCCATTTAAAGTGTGCAATTCAATGGTTTGAGCATATTCACCGAGTATACTCACAATCTGGAATATTTTCATTCCCCCATTCCACCTTCTATTAGTAATTACTCCCTATTCCAACACACCCCACCCCTGCAAAATCATTACTTTCTCTCTCTCTAGATTTGCCTACCCTGGGATTTGCATATAAATGAAGTCATGTAATAATGTTCTGTTTTGTGTCTGACCTTTTTCACTTAGCATGATGTTTTTTAAAAATTATTTTATTGAGGGCTTCCTCGGTGGTGCAGCGGTGGAGCGCTGGGCTGCGAAGCTGCCTGCAGCCTCTGCAACGCTGGTTCGATCCCTGGCCGCTGGCGAGGGTCCCACATGGCACACAGACCTCTCCTGCCACGCCCACTGCTCCCCTCAGCAGTGTATTTCGTCAGTCTGTCTGTTCTGCTCCCTGCTCTGGCTCTGGTGAATTCTCTCACCCTCCCGCGCTTCTGACTGTACCCAGTGCTTGTATAAATAAATAAATAAATCTTTAAAAAAATTATTGAGGTAACATTGGTTTACCACACTGTATATGTATTGGGAGGTATAGATTCACACCTCTTCAGATACCTGTTGACACATTACACCCATCACCAAATCACCAATACTGTGCACCACTGTCCATTGGGGCCCTTCCCTGCTTTTGTCCCCACCCTACCCTACCTGAGTGAGTAGCCTCGGTTTTGCAATTTCTAGGGTTTGGTTTGGTTTAGTTTTGTCTGTTCTCTTGCTTTGTTTCTTACTAGTCTACATGGGAGTGAAATCATCTGTTTTTTGTCTTCTCCTGATTTATTTTCACATAGCATGTTTTTACAATTCATCCATGTTTTATAATATGTGCCAGAACTTATTTCCATTTTATGGATGGCTAATTCCAGTGTGTGGATATGTATCACATTTAAACTATCCAGTCATCAGTTGATGGACATTTGGGTTGTTTCTACTTTTCAGCTATTAAGAATAGTGCTGCTGTACTATTTGTGAGCAAGCTGTTGTGTGGGTTTAAACTTTCATCCCTCTTAGGTGTATACCTAGGAGTGGAATTTTAGGATCATATGGTAATTCTGTGTTTGTAAATCATTTGAAGACCAGCCAGACTGTTTTCTAAAATGTCTGCACCATTTTCCATTGCCACCAGCAGTGTATGAGGGTTGTAATTTCTACACATCCTCTCCGATATTTATTATTATCTTTTGATATAGTTATCCTAGTGTATGTGAAGTGGTATCTCTTTGCAGGTATGATTAGCATTTTCCAGATGAATAATGGCATTGAACATCTTTTTTTTTTGAAGATTTATTTATTTATGTATACAAGCACTGGGTACAGTCAGAAGCGCGGGAGGGTGAGAGAATTCACCAGAGCGGGGAGCAGAGCAGGCAGAAGGACCGAAGTGCACTGCTGAGGGGAGCAGCGGGCAGCAGGAGAGGTCTGCGCGCCATGCGGGACCCTCCTCCGGTGGCCGGGGAGGAGTTGGGGATCGAACCGGCGCTGCAGAGGCTGCGGGCAGCTTCGCAACCCAGCGCTCAACCGCTGCGCCACCGGGGAGGCCCTGGCATTGAACATCTTTTCTTGTTCTTACTGGCTATGTCTATATCTTCTTTGGAGAAATATCGCTTCAATATTTTGACAGTTTAAAAAAATTATTGTGTGATAAGAGTTCTTTATCCTGGATACTGGTATCTTATTAGATAAATGATTTGCAAATATTTCCTCCAAATCTGTGGCTTGTTTTTTATTTTCTAACAGTGCCTTTTTCAGTACAAAATTTTTAATTTTGATGATATCTGGTTCATCTCATGTTTCTTGTGTTGCTTATGCTTTTGATGTGGTATCTATGAAATCATCGCCCAATCTGAGGTCATGAAAGTTTATTTACATTTTCTTCTTAAGAAAGGAAATAGTTTTATCTTACATTTAGGTCTCTGGTCCATTTTGAGTTGACTTTTGTGTACAGTATGAAATAAGGGTTCAAATGTGTTTTGAATGTTGATGCCCAATTGTCCCAACACCATTTACTGAAAGAACGATTCTTTGACTCACTTAATGGGTTTAGTATCCCTACCACAATTCAGTTGACTGTAAATGTGAGAATTTATTTCTATTCCATTCATCTGGCACATAATGCCAGTAACACACTGGCAAATAGGCTTTCAGGACTTTTCTCACAAATATTTGATAAGATGGCTGCATCAATGACCAATAGTCATATGTCAGCATTATTTCCGGGATGCTTTTGGGGAGAAGGTTCATTGGTTTGTAGGTCACTTTTGACTTTCATCCTATAATCTATCTAAATAAGTGTGAAAATATCAAAATAAGTCTATTTCAGGGCCCATTATAATCCATTATTTTAGGTCCTTGTGATTGCCAAGGAAAGACTTGACTATCAGTTTAGAATAGATTTTGGGCTTTGATTGGACTATTCTGTTTGAATTGTAAAACTGTTTCAAGAGCTGAAAGCATAAAAATTTCGTTCTCAGTGAAGATTGGGTCTGACATTTTAAGTGCAGTTGGAACTCACAACTATTCAATATATAACTTGTAAAATGAATGAATGTCTGATTTCAATTGATATTCATAAAGTTATGATGAATAAAGATAGTGGCAAGAGATTCCTGATAAATTTCTCAAAAGAGATCTAAAATCCCACCAAAACTCTTTCCCAAGATGTCTTTATGCTTGTGTGATAAGATTAATGGTGTTAATTTTCTTCTTTTTTTGCTGTTTTCTACCATGATTGTGTATTACTTCTCTCTCTTTCATTAAAAGTGCTTGACATATTTTTACTTTAATAATTCAAAATTTATCTTTTGAATTTTTAGTAGACTTTGGCAGATATTTTTGGTACACCTTGCAGGAATGAAGCAGGAATTAATTTACATAATTTGCATGTCATAATAAGTATGTCATTGCTTCTTTTACCCTACTCTAATTTACATAATCTTTTCAAAGCTGCTCATATGTTGTTTTTAGCCATATGATTTATCGTTGCTTTTATGAATAAATGTGTTTCTGGTTATGTGGTAGAGATTGCTGAATGCATTTTTATAGCAATACAAACACTGTTCTAGATAAGTACCTAATGATTTACTTAAACAATATCTCTTGATAGGTTCTGTGGCTAAGAACTTCTTCACCAAATCAAAGCTTTCCATTCCAGAACTTTCCTATATATGGTAAGTACAATTAATGCCACATGGTATGATACTGTCATATGCATCCATCCTTTGGCTCCCACTGTTGGATTTTTTTAAAGATTTATTTATGCATACAAGAACTGGGGTACAGGCCAGAGGTTCAGGGGGTGAGAGGATTTACCGGAGAGAGAACGGGGAGCAGAACAGGCAGGCTGAATAAAATACACTGCTGAGGGGAGCAGCAGGCGAGACAGGAAAGGTCTGCTGCACCATATGGGTAGCTTTCTGGCTGGCTGGGGATTGAACTCGTGCTGCAGGGGCTGCGGACAGCTTCACAGTGCTGTGCTTAACACCTTGTGTCACCAGGGAGGGCCCTAAAGTTTTATCTCTTGATTTTTTTTTTAAACAGTAAGAAAGTGAGTAGAACTTTGATTTTTACGTATGAAATGAACAGTGAGCAGTATCTGTTACGTGCCAAGCACTCTTCAGTGTTAGATACTATTTCAAAAGCAATGTCCTAATTTTTATCCTCATCTGGAGCCCTTATTAGTCTAAATAGTTGTGTGGCTGTTGAGAATTTCCATCTTGTGTATTTTACTTTCAGCTTTTTCTGCTTGGTGTGATGCAAGTAACCAGAGGACATTGAAAAGCTTTTCTTGATAATATTTTATGAGGCCAGGTGAACAGAAATCCACAAATGTTTTGGAATTAAGTTAAGATGGAGCATTCTAGCTGCGTCTGAGCTTCATAAATTTTGCTGTTGTTTGTCAGCTGGGCCCTAGTTCAGGCTTGCAGCTGCAGACCTGGCCACAGAGGGTTGTGTTGGGAAGGACCACGTGGCTTCCTTTGCATTCGTGAAAGTGCTCAGCGCTCCAGAGGTTGAGGCTGCATGTGGCCTGTTCTTCCTCATGACAGGCCAGGAGACTGGGCTGCTTTAAATCTAGGATTCAAAATGTTCGCATGCTCGTATAAAGCTTTTCTCCATGAGGATTTATAAATATATGCTAGGATGCAAAATTCCATGTCATGTTTTATGCACCTTATTGGAAAACCATTCTTATAATCCTGTGCATACCAGTGTTCAGAGCTGGATTTAGGCTCTCTAGCTATCTAGTTTGCCTTTTTTTTTTGTTTGTTTACATTTTAAAAGGACAGGTTTATTAGGAAGAGGACAGGGGGAGATGCCTGGCCAGATATAAGCAGGCAGAAAGAGCTGCCGCTGCTGCTTTGCAGAGAGAAAAGGTTTGTGGAGAGAAACACCTGCAGAGGCACTGGAGAGCAGGAGAGCACCTGGGCTTTTTGTTGTTTTGTTTTTTTTCCTAACTGCAAGCTATACACTGGATTTCAAAGGTAGGGAAAAAAAATTTTTGTTTTAAAAAGAACACAGTGTGTGAGCAGAATTCTTAGACTTGCATTATTGGCATGAGGCTGCCTATCTTTTGGTTGCGACATACCGGGGCAAGCTTCTCCCTGTCAGCGTTTGAAATTGTTTTCCTTACTCCTCACCCTGGGGAGCTGCTCTTTCAGGGCTGGTGAGTTCTAAACATTTGAAGGGGAGCAGGATGTGAAAGTTCAAGGAAAGTTACGGTGCTTGCTTTAGATATTTTTCTTTCAAATAGTAGAATCTTCCTAGTACAGTTTGATATCTCATCGCCCTGCTTGTCCTCGCACAAGTTTACTTACTTATCTCTCTACTCCTCAGAGCCTGGGTGAGCTTCTGGGGTCTTTGTTACCTTGGCAAATTGGTTTCTTTTGTGCTGAGTAAATAGGTCTCTGCCTTTCAGTGGGGAACAGTGACTGAGGCAAGATAGGCCTATTTAGGATGCTCCCTTTCTTCTGTGTCATTCGGTTCCACCCTTTCCTCGTTGCTCGTTTTAGCTCCAAACCAGAATTCAACTCATATTTGTTGAGCTTACTTGTCTTTTTCCCAGGAGGGAATTCTTTTTTTTTGTATCTTTTTAAAAAAAGCTTTAATTTATATATATTTTACGTCATTGTTCATTTTTGTACAATGTTTGCTTTCTCCTCTCCGGTGTAGGCCCTGTAAAATTCCCACCACCAGTTCACCTGTGCACCATCACCACAGTCCCTGTGCTCGTCCCGCTCCTGTTTTCATCCCTCTCCCTCCCCTGCCCTGGAGAATGTCTGGTTTATAGTTGCCTGTTAGTTTTGGTTATTTATTGATTATATTTTTCTGGATCCCTTATGTGTTTCCCCTGTATTCCTGCTATAAGTGAAACCATCTGATATTTTCTTTTTCCTTCTGACTTATTTCATTGAACATAATCCCTTCCAGCTCCAGCCATGTTGCTGCAAATGGCATGAGTTTATCTTTTTTTGATTGCTGAATAGTATTCCATTGTGTATATGTACCACCTTTTCTTGATCCAGACATCTATTTTTGGACACTTGGGCTGTTTCCATATCTTACCTATTGTAAATGGTGCTGCAATACACATAGAGGTGCAGGTATCCTTGTGAATTAATGTTTTTGTGTCCTTTGGGTAGATTCAGGAGGGAATTCTTAATTCTTAATTATTTAATTCTTATTTATTTATCTTATTTGTCTTAATTCTTATTCATTCATTCATTCATTCATTTATTTATTTTTGTGGCTTTAAAACTTTGAGGTTTTTCCTTAAGGTTGAAAATGAAACTTATTTCCGTGATCAGGTAACTGTGGGTGGACCGGGTCAGTGCTTCATCTGATTCGAGCTCCACATCCACAGCTCTTCATACCACGCATCTGCTGAATAAAGCATGGGACTCTAGGCATCGTCGCTCCATTTTGTGCGATAGTCTCTTGTATAGTCAGTGATGTAAAACAGACCTCCCAGTGGCATTTTATAAAGTGCCACTGATGCCAGTGCTGTTGACAAGGTTTTTCCTTCCAAGTAGCCCCGAAATGTCATAGGAGTTTGGGGAACCCACAGGGCTCCTGGACACTGAGTGACTGTTCCTCTAAGTCCCATGTTCGGTGCTCATGACACCTGTCATATTTAGGGAACTGAGTGACGCTGACTGTGATGGAGCTCTGACCCTGCCGGAGTTCTGTGCTGCGTTTCATCTCATCGTGGCCCGGAAGAACGGCTACCCGCTGCCAGAAAGCCTGCCCCCAACCCTGCAGCCAGACTACCTGCAAGCAGGTAAGGACTCTGCGTCGGTCCTGAGGCGTGGGCATTTTTCATCCAGATCTGATAAGAAACCTTTGTTTTCAAAGATGGTGTCCAGACACTTTGGGGAGTTCTTTGTAGTTATTGTCCTTTAACTGATACGAGACTTTCACATCTTAATTATAACATGAATAATAGGGATAATCTGGGTAAGTGTGAGCCGTTTGTTATTCCCATTCTAGTATTCTCTGGGTGGATGACCCCAAATTGTTTTATCCTTTCATGAAAATTGTGGACGAGGCAAGTAGTGAGCCTCCTCGCTGATAGAAAGCGAAGAGGAAGATGTCCTTGCAGGCAAGTGCTCACTCAGCATCTTTGGGCATGTTGCAGTGTTCCCAAGTGGCCTTGGGCAATGGAATGGAATACAACTCTTACAGCGAATTAAAATGTTAAAAAATTACTCACTGTGAAATGTGCAAAAAGCTGTAATTTTAAATGTACACTGCATGAATTTTTGCAAATTATACCCCCATGTAGCTGCAAGCAGATAGACCTAGAGCATTCGTGCACACCACAAGTTTGGGCTATAACTTTCTCCTGAGAAAAACAGTTGCCCCAAATCCCCCGGATAGGAAAGAGTCATGGTACGTCCAGTGTTTGTATTAGTACCTTTGGAAGATTAGAAAAAGTAATAGTGTCTCTGGCCCTTTTCAAAGGCAGTGAGCACTTACATGATTCCCATTACTCAGAGAAGCACAGCCTCCCCGGGAAGGGTCTGCAGACGAGTACTGCTTACCCTGACCTTTCTTGCTTGTCAGGAAAGGTCTCTTGAAAATATGTGAGCTTGGTCACGGACGATTATTGCTAGAGGTGGCAGTGTCTAAAGAAAATCCGATTCATCATTAATAGAGCATAGCTTTTGTAGTGCGATCTGGAGAAGGCCTTAGATTATTTGGTCTGGGCCCCTCCTCGCAATGACACTGGATTCTAAGTGGTCGATGACTTACCTGTCTTGCAGTCTCCGAGTCTTGAATAAAGGCAATGGTTTTCTATATTTGATAGCGAGGGAGTGGAGGCGAAACCAAAGGGAAGAGACCAAGTATGTATCTGGCGCCAGGGACATGTAAACGTGTTGGAGAAAATGTGACCATTTTGGGATCTCCCCAAATGCCCCCATAAATTGTATGAAGTGGGAGATTCAGAGAGCAAAAGCCACTGCTGTCTCAGGGCTTGAACATGGCTGGTAGCCGCTGCTTTCTAGCTGCAGCCGACTGTACCCCCGCCTGCTGGCCTTCCTCACAGGTGGAGGCCCTCAGGTCCCCAAGAATTACCTTGCAATTAGGTAGCATGGCTTCCCTGTTTGCTCTTTTGTCTGTCTCCCTCTCCTCGCTCCTCCTTCCTGCTTTCTTTCTCTCCTTCTCCCTCCTCTGTTTCTCCTGGATCTAAGGCAAAGAATCACTAACCTTTCCAGGGCCATCTTGGTGATGGCGTGGGTCCCAGAGCCAATTCAGTGTAGGGTGATGGAGGAATTCCTTCTGCATCTCTGTGGGAATGAGTAGTTGACCAAAGGGCTGTGGTCTGCTCTGGGGCTATTTAGCTATGTCTACACCATCACCACTTCCTCTTGGGAGCCCCGGGGAGAGTCCTGGGTGTCTTACCTTCCACAACCACCCTTAACTTCCTGGTTTTACTGTTTCCTTCATTTGAGGCTGGATGGTAAAGGAACCCATGGCCAGTGGCATGATTCCTTGTGTGAGAAGTCACTTGGTAGGTGTCCAGGTGTTTTATGTTCTGTTTCAGAAGTTGCTGATAAAATTTTTACAAATCTGCAAGTCTTGCACAAAGTGTGTCAACAGAAGAGAAATAGCCCCATGATTCCTTTGCTGCTGCAGATGGCTGCTTCTGCTGTAGGGGGGTGGCTGTGACAGAGCCCACCCCCCCGCAGGCTTTGCCTTCACTGGAATGAAAGCCCCTGCTTCTTCCTGGCCTTTGATGGAGACTGTCAGCATCTAGACAGAAACAGCGGATGAATTCATCACATACCCTCCAATTAAACAAAAATTGCACATCATTTCCAGAGCTTGTGGGATTAATCCTAAATAATAATTATACATAAAATGTGGTCATACCCCATCAAACTCAGGGAGAGTATATGTTAAGTGAGCCCTGAGGGCTTAGCAGTTAACTTAAATGCTTTATCACCCGTGTTTGTCTTTATGCAGCTCAAGACAATGGCCAGAACTATAATGGTCTTCTCTATGTTTTTAGACTGTGCAAAATATGAACGGTCCTGTTCGTTTGGGGGGTTTATTTGGATGGTAATAAGTTTTAAGAAAGTTTAGCTTTTATCTTACTCCAACAGTTTTCGAATTGATCTGTATTTAGTCTTTAAAAAAATCTAATCCAGTCTTTGACTAGAGTGGTGAGGAGTATAAATTTGATTGATGTCATCATGCAGTCAAAACTATGAAATAGGAATGGTTGTAGCTGGTGCCACTTTACTTTTACCTACAGAGATAGTTCCTTTTCCCTAACAGTGAACATTAAAGGGCAGAATTGGAAGGAAAATTTGGATTATTGGTGATTTACGGGCCTTTTGATATTTTCAGCAGTGCCAACGTGTTTGAAGCCGGGAAGTCACACAGTTAGATTTGCTGTTTGAGATGATCATGCTGGTTGCCGACCAGGTCTTGAGGGTCAAGGGTGGAAACCAGAAGACCAGGTCATGGCAGCAGTCCAGTCAGAGCCACAGGGGGGCCCCGCTGGGGAGGTGGCAGTGGTGATGGAGGGATGGCTACATGCTGGAGAGAGATTTAGTAGTAACTTGAATGCTTTTTAGTTTTTGAAAGTGTTAGCCTTCTGCATAGCCAGACCCATTCAGGGTAAGGCTTCTGTCAAGTAATACTAGTCAGATCACTGTTTGACAGACTGAGAAAGAGAATGCCTGAGATTGGTAAAAACCACTCTTGGGACTGCTTTGAGGAATGGCACTTGGAAAGGGGTTTTGCTGGATTTTACCAAGGAAACAGTGAGACCACTTGGTATAGTCAGAAATTCACCAGGGCACAGTTTGCTCCACCTGAGATCAGTGAAATGCAGTCCACAGTAAGTCCCTGAATATTCAAGGTGCTTGTATTCAGCTGCACATATGGTAGCTGTTACCTAGTGGCTAGTGCTACTGAGGAGCGAAGTTGGCATTTCAAATCCTGGTGGGATGGTGGGGAAGGATGAAAAATAAGGTCCATCCATTTTTAACATCATATTAAAATATTTTTTAAAACATTTTGATTTCTTAACTGGTCCTGGCAAATTTGATTTGTGGCTTCTGTTTATTGCCTACCTCAATCTGCTTTTCCTTTTTGTGATATTGACAACTTTTCTACTTGTTGAGACATTTCCTTCGTAATTACTTCATGACAAAGTGGTGAAACAGAATCTGCTTCTAAGAAATGGTGTTTTAAGTATTAACTTACCAAGTGGCAGGAGTTTTCCTCATGCTGATCCACTCAGCTCCCTTAACTAACAGCCTGTGATTGTTCGATGTTGGGAGAAACCTGTGATTCTTATGTCCTCACTGTTAGTTAAGGGGGCTGAGTGGATCAGCATGAGGAAAACTCTTATTTTTGTTACTCCTAATGGCTAACCAAAAGAAACGAGTAGTTTGTGAAGTTTTCTTAGGCACACATTGCATGATCTTGTCTATTTCCAACAATAGCTAAGATGAAACATTTCCTTAGATAATGTCTACCATCACAGTTACTACCATTTAAAATTATGCCAGTTGCATGGTTAAAACTTAAGTATCGTGATAGTGATGGGTAACATGGAAAATGACTGCTATGTGACATGAAATGCTGGAAGCCTCGTCCCTAGGATGCTGGCTGCTCAGGTGCCTGCTCTTCTACTTCCAGCTACGTGACCGTGAGCAAGTCGCTTAGCTTTGCTGCTCCTCAGTATCATCAGGTATAAAATGAGGATGCTAGAAATACCAGGTTGTGATGTGAAGAATTTGAAATACTAACTCTCCATGATTAGAGTCAGCACTGGTCCACAGGAGCTGGTGGAGTTTGTGTTGTATTTAGCCGGCACAGAAAAGCTGACAGGAAACAATGACCACTCTCTATATAGTAGATCTTCTTATGTATTCTTTCTGTTTCTTTTTAGCCTTTCCTAAGCCCAAGTGGGAGTGTGCGTTATTTGACTCTTATTCTGAGTCAATGCCAGCAAACCAACAAGGCCGTGACTTGAATCGGATGGAGGTAAAAGATCTTGTATCATAAGTAAGGATGTGTATAGAATGAAGTCCATTAGCCACAGTATCAGCTGGTCTTTACAAACTCCGGAAAGTCCGCTTTTAAATCATTTTCTCTTCATACTAAGTACTTAGTTTCAGGCTCAGCCTTTCAAATGTAGACACCAGATTTGTCTGTAACTTCTTTTCTCTGTAAAGCAAGGTATAGTGAAATAAGCAAGTTAGTTTCTTGACCTTCTAGAGGTGAAATTTAGGGGTAGCCAAACTAATCCAGAAAAAATGCTGTTGTTTACTTAAACTACACTTTAATTCCGAAGTGAGCATTATACAGTTGTGGTTTTTGTAAGTGAATATTTATTAGGTTTAATGAACCTGAACAGTTTTGAGAAGAAGTTTGAGGACTATATATGAGGCCACAAATCACATTCAAAGCCTCCTTTTCCCTCTGGGAGTTTAGCTTTTGGAGCAAATGACGACGGATTAGGATGATTTCCAAAAGAAACCTGGAGCATGTCCACGGTGTTGGCCCCTTGTTGTAGGGGCTCAGCCAAGGGCTTAGTTCGGGGTATGGCAGTAAACAGGAGTCATCATGGTTATTGTTAATTTAGCACTGTCATTGCCACGATCACCCTTCTGATCGCTAGGACGACAGCTTATGATCCCTGCTCTTCCCATCCCCCAAATAATCTGGAATTGTTTCCTAAGTGCAGATTTATTCGTAGACTCCTGTTAGCGTCCTCTGACTCTGGTTTTATCATCGCTGGATGATAGAAGTCAAAGACAGGATGCAAGGCTGGACTTTAATTTCTTGTAACTTTGAGATTGTTTATCCTTTCCCAGAGGGCGCTCAGAGACACCCCTCCCCCCTGCACCCCCTCTTCTGAGCTGTGGGGGGTATCCTCTGCCCCGCTAAGGGAATGTGCCTGCCTCTTTCACGCTCCCTGTGGTAACATCTCCCTTGGTCTCTCTGTCACTGTTCATGGTCCCCCTGCTCCTTTCCTCAAGAGAGTTCTCCGCATGGGAAAAAGACGTAAGGAGAAATCATTTCGGGAGGAGTGGTAGATATGCATTTGAAGAATTTTCGTTAAAATTTTATTTTTCTGCAGAATGCATGTGAGATGAAGAAGCCAATTCAATAATTAGCCACTTTTCCTGGCCCTCAGTGTGCTTGGGGCTGCTGGCAGTATCTGGAAAGGTCTCTCAGGCCAGGACTGACCCTGTGCAGGTCTCTTAGGCACTTGCCCTGTTTTCAGTTTTTGCTCTAGGTCCCGCTGCTTCCGTAAAATTATGAGGTTTGTAGGTGATTTACCAAAACGTGTTGTACATTCTTATTCTTTCTGGATAAACATTTTGTTCCATATTGCCATAGTATCAGATGGTCTTTGTCCTTCTAACAGAGACAAATGCTGCTGTTTTTTTGGAGAAATTAATTACTGACTCATGTTTCTTTACCCCATGTGGTAATTTATCTTTCGAAAAGGAAAGAACAAATACACAGGAGTCTCTGAGGTCTGGAAATGGAGATTTTTTAAACACACGCTCTGATGGCCTCGATGACAGTGTGCGCCCCTTGTGGATGCTGTGCGCACCTGCTTTGGCGCTTGTGTATTCTTTCACTGGCCCCCGTGGTGGGTAGGTTAAAAGCTACCAAGTCTTTGCTTTTCCTTGTCCAAACAAGAAAGCAAAACTTAACCAACCAACCAACAAAAAAAGAAAACAAAAAAACCCAAACCTCAAAACCAAAACCTCTTTCCCAACAAAGCTTATTATTTTGAGGTGGGGTGCTTTTATTTATTTATTTATTTTAAAGATTTATTTATTTATACAGGATCCAGGGTACAGGCCAGATGTGCGGGAGGGTCAGAGAATGTACCAGAGACTGACTGAACAGAGACTGACTGACAGGCAGACTGACTGAAATACACTGCTGAGGGGAGCAGCGGGCGAGACAGGAGAGGTCTGCTGCGCCAAGTGGGATTCTCGCTGGGCGGCCAGGATTGAACCCGCGCTGCAGAGGCTGCAGACAGCTTCACAGCACGGCGCTCAACCCACTGCGCCACCAGGGAGGCCCAAGGTGGGGGGTGCTTTTAGATAATGATAATAAACACAATTCAGGGGCCAAGTAATTGGGTTAGTTGATGGTCTGACCACTCAGGAAGTATAGTTCACATTTTAATAGCCAATGGTTAAATATTTCATGTTCTTCTAAACTATTTGTGCATCATTCTTTCTACCTGTCTTATAATGTTGTGAATGCCTGTAATTTAAATAGATTTTGGTATAATTCCATATAGGTGTTTGTGTTGTGAATGAAACTGCAGCTGATTCTGAGTGGTACATTTTTTTAAAAAGACAACTGAAGTGTAACCATGAACCAGGAAGAAAAAAAGATAATTTCAGTTATACTCCTCTTCAGCAGTATTTCCTAGATTACTGGATTTCTTTCTTTTAAAGACAGTTTTATTGATATATAATTCATGCACCACACTCATCCAATGTATACAGTTCAGTGGTTTTTAGTACATTAAAAAGTTGTGGAACTATTCCTATGATCTAATTTTATTTTTTAAAAAGATTTATTTATGCATACGAGAACAGGGGTACAGGCCAGGGGTACGGAGGGTGAGAGGATTCACCGGAGACAGAGTGGGGAACAGAACAGGCAGACTGATTGAAACACACTGCTGCGGGGAGCAGTGGGTGAGAAAGGAGAGGTCTGCTGCACCATGTGGGTAGCTCCCTGGCCGGGGATCAAACTTGGGCTGCAAACTTTTGTGTGAATGTTTTCAGGTCTCTTGGGTATATACCTAAGACTGAAATGGGCACATCATATACCTGGTGGTTAACTTCCTGAAGAACAACTGAACTGAACTGATTTCCGAAGCAGATGTCCTCTTTTTCATTCCTCCACCATCAATGTATGATGGTTCTGATTGTTCCACATCCTTGTTAACACCAGTTATTGTCTGTCCTTTTTATTTTAGTGGGAATGACATGGTAGCGCACTGTGGCTTTGACTGGGAATTTCTGATGACTAATGATAATGATGTTGAGCACATTTTCGTGTGATTATTAGCCATTTTAGATCTACTTTGGAGAAATGGCTGTTCATATCTTTTGTCCATTTATGAATTGGGTTGTTTGTTATTGAGTCATAAGTGTTCTTTATATATTCTGGACATAACACTCTTTATTAGGTAATTTGCTGCATTTTCTTTCTTTGGTTTTTCTTTAGTTTGATAGTGTCCTTTGCAATATAATTTTTTTGGTTGTGATGAAGTTTAATGTATATATATATATTTTTTCTTTGATTTCTTATACTGCTCTGATGTCATCTCTAAAACCATTGTCTAATATAAGATCACTACCAGGGTTTCCTCCTATTTTAAAGTTTTACAGATTTGGACCTTTGCATTTAGATCTGGTGTCCATTTTGAGTTCATCCTTGTGCATGCTGTGAGGAAGAGGTCCCACATCATTCTTTTGTGCATGCCTGTCCAGTTGTCCCATCATTGATTGAAAAGGCAGGTGTTGTGCACCCTTGTTGAAATTAAATTGACCACAGATGCAGGGTTTATTTATGGACCCACTATCCCACTTATCTATAGGTCTGTCATTATGCAAGTATCACACCGCCGTCATCACCCTAACTTTGTGGCAACTTTTAAAATTGGCAAGTTTCAGTCCTTGAACTTTGTTCTTCCTTTTCAAAAATATTTTCACTATTTTGAGTCTTTTGCATGATCAAATGAAATTTAGGACCAGCTTGTCAATTTCTGTAAAAAGGTGAGGTGTGTGATCTGAAGGGTGTGATCCTCTAACCCTAAATCAGTGCTGTAAACCAATGTTACTGCAATTAAAAAAAAATCCAAAACTTAAAAAAAAGAAGGCTAGCACTGACTGCCTGAATTTGGGAGGTGTCATCATCTTAACAGTGTTTCATCTTCTCACCCATAAGCATGGGATGTCTTTCTATTTGTTTAGATATTAAAATTTTCAACAGCATTTTCTGGCTTTCTTTTTTATCTCCATTTTCTACTCAAATTATTTTCTTCTAGGGTATGGTTTATAATCAGAGTTGGAGAAGAAAATGAAAGAAAGGCACTGTATATTTCTATTCTGTCAGAGTTAACTAGAGGACCTTGAATAGGAAATTCCATCTGGATGCTTCTTTGTAATGCCAGAACAACCTGCCTGAGAATGATTAAATCCTAGACCAGGATATCTCTAAGCAGTATTCTTTTTTTTTTTTTAAAGATTTATTTATTTATGCATACAAGAGCTGGGGTACAGGCCAGAGCTGTGGGGAGTGAGAGGATTCACCAGAGATGGAGTGAGGAGCAGAACAGGCAGACTGACTGAAATACACTGCTGAGAGGAGCAGCAGGCGAGACAGGAGAGGTCTGCTGTGCCATGTGGGTCTCCTCCCTGGCCAGGGATCGAACTCGTGCTGCAGAGGCTGTGTATTGCTTCATAGGTTGCGTCTTAAACCTTTTTGCCACCAGGGAGGCCCCTCTAAGCAGTATTCTTAACTCCCTTTCTTTGAAACAGTTTAAAAACAGAAGTATTGCTGATCCTTTTGGGGTTGCTCAGAATCTGAGAGGTAAACCAATTAGCCTTTTGGACAGCTCCAGGAATTTACTCTGTTTCCTCTAAGTTTTTGCAATTTATCTTTATTTGACTGTTTTGAATATGTTTAAAATAAAAAGAATGTCAGAAGGCAAGTCCTCCTTCCATCTACCCAATCCCTGTTCAATTTTTATCTTTCCAGAATTTGCTACATATGTAAATGTATATATTCTTTCATTTAATCTTATGAGAAGTCTTAGAATATGTGTTGAGAACATCTAAGAAATGAATGCATAGAAAGTACATTTTATGCAGAATTTTAAACTAATCCATTTGGATATTTATTAGTGTAAGTGAAGATTTCCTTCATAATTGAATTAGGAGAAAATTTTGTTCTGCTCGTCCAATAAAATTCTTTTATTCCACTCCAAGGACGCTATTTGAATCAGGGTTGAGCTTCCTCTATAAAACAGATCCTGGCAAATAGCTGCATTATGGGGCCACTTGTCAAAGTCTCTCTGTGCTTGTGGGAAAAGCGCATGCCATACGGGTTTGCTAGTGATTGAGTGGGCAAGTGCTGCATGATTCTCTGACTGAATCCCACACCAGATTCAAATTTCATATACTGTTTATACATAGGGCTCAATCTGAATAATTCTTTCTTCTGTATATGTAAGTTTTTCAATACAAATTAACTTACACCTCACTAGGAACTTAAAAGAATAAAACAGTATTAAATGTCAGGGTTTGCTGGAGACAGTAATAACTGGCAAGCTGTGATGCTTTTAAAGCATTTTCATCATATGTGCGTGTCATTCAATTTCCAATGCACCCATATAATTAATTTACTTTTCTTTTCCAAGAAGACAGCTATTAAAGACATGGCTGACTTTCCTGTCCCGACCCCAGAGATGACTGATGATGAAAAACAAGGTATGGAAAGAAACTTCCTGTAAGGACACTCTGTGTTGCTTTATTCACGTCTCTTTGGATGGCGGGCTTCTAGAGCTTATGCAGACAGTTCTCAGTATATGAACAAATGATTGTCACGAAACTATAGTTCACCTGAGTGTGTGTGTCTGAAGCCCCCCAGCTCATAGGCCCCTTTACTCACTGCTGACCCTCAGTCTACTCTGACCTCTTACAATGGAAATTACTGGAAGCTGAACAAATTCAAGAGCTTAACATCATGTGTTGGCAGATGTGAACCCAGAACATTTGTGTGCTGGTCTAATTCATGAGGAAGTTATCTTCTGGAGAGAGTTTCTGTTCCTGGGCTTTAATCTCTGTGACTTTTGGGTGTTGGGGTGTGACGTAGAGCCCGCCAACAGTTGGCACGTCCCATTAGGTGGGGGAGAGACGGCGCTGCACGGTGCTTTCTGCGGCAGGCACCATCCGGCACAGGGAGGAGCGGGCCTGGGAATACCTAGAAGAGCAGGAGGAAGCTCTCTCCCCCCCCACCTCTAGCTCCATACTTCTGCGTAGTGATTTCTAATAGTGAGCTCCTTTCTTCTTACCTTATTTTATTCAGTCCTTGTAAAACTGAATGGAGGGTGGTGGTGTTTTATCACCTGAAATTTAGAGCTGAGTGAACGGCTTAATACGAAAAAGAACTTGGATAAGAAAATTTTCTCAATCTCAAGTTAGTGTTCCTTCTGCTGTCTGATAGTGATTCGATACCCATGAAAGAGGCTTCTCTAAGGTAACTAAAAAACAAGTGAAGCCATCTCTAGTGAATTTTAGCCTGGCTTGCACATTAGAATAACCAGGCGAGCTCTAGGAATGCTCAAGTCTGGGTCTCACGCCTGGGGATTCTGAGGTCATTGGTCTGAATCTCTGGAATACGAGGGGGAAATTGCTGATATTTCCTAGTCATACCCCTCCTAGCCACTAGAGGTGCTGTCTTTGGAAAATTGAAAATACCACAGGGGGTTGTAATGCTGTGTTCATTAGTGACCGCTTAGGGGGGGACTCTGTATTAATGTAATGTGCCTCAGAAATAAAATTTTACATTTTCCCCCTTTTCTCCTCCTTTTTCTCTGGTTATTTCAAAACAAAACTGCTAGTTTTGAAAAGTACTACAGATGAAGCCTTACCAAAGGACATATCCAAGGATTCAGGTAGGAGAAAATCATTTTTAATATATTTTGTATGTAATTATTTCTAATTAAAAAATAAATGCTTTCATTGTGAAGACCAGCACATCTGTGATAGTATGTTTTACTCTAAATATTTTGTGTTTTATTCCAAGAAGGCCTTTTTCCTTTTATTTTTAAACCCTACCCTCTTTTCAGGTACAAGAAGAGAGGGATTTCTTTTTAAATTCTGAGTTTAGATTTCACTGAAAGGCAGCCAGTTTGAATTTAGGACCTTATTGTTACTAAGTGTAAAATCTAGATGGTTTTGGCCTCCCTGGTGGCGCAGCGGTTGAGCACTGGGGTGCGAAGCTGCCCGCAGCCTTTGCAGCACCGGTTCGATCCCCGGCTGCTCCCCGGCCACCGGCGAGGGTCCCACATGGCGCGCAGACTTCTCCTGCCGCTCGCTGCTCCCCTCAGCAGTGTACTACATCAGTCTGCCTGTTCTGTTCCCCGCTCTGGCTCTGGTGAATTCTCTCACCCTCCCGCGCTTCTGACTGTACCCAGTGCTTGTATAAATAAATAAATAAATCTTTTTTTTTTTAAAAAAGAAGCAGCTAAAATAATAAAAAAAAAATCTAGATGGTTTCAACAACCGTTGTGGTTTTTGTGTAAAGAACTGATAGAGTAGATCAACTAAAAGTCCACAGTTGACATTTTCCATTTCCAAAACAGAAATCTCAAATATTTTTATTATACTTCACTGCCAGGAAGACAAGTAAATGTGCTTGTGCTTGGAGTGGATTCCAAGGAGAAAAAGAAAAATCGTGTTTGCTCAGGTTCTTGGAGAGTTGGGACCGTGTCTGTGAGATGTGGAGCTGGCTGGGCCCGTCTTCCATGCTCTCCATGGCATCGTCACTGCACCCAGATGAATCTAGTTAAAAACAAATGGGCCAGGGAAGGTGTCACTATTTGGAGTTCTGCTTATGAGGACATGAAAAAAGTCCCTGTTTTCTCTTTTATTGTTTTCTCTTTTAAATTTTAATAAGTAAATCATGGTTGTTTGGTTAGTTAGCCATTATCCCGGGCTTATTTGTATAAAGTTGGAATAAAGGACTCAATATAACATTGAGGCTTATTCTGTAATACACAGTATCTCCAAAACATGAAGTTCATTTGAAGTGTAAAATAGACGGGTGGAGGGAGAGATTATGACTATAAATGAGAATATAGGATTGATTTCAGTGACAGGGCCTGAGAATCTGTATTCTTAGGCAGACGCCACCCGCTGCCAGTGACTCTGCTGTACAGCCTTTTTCGGGAATCACTGCCTTTCCCAGGACAGGTGAAGAAGTAGAAAATTGAGATTGTAGATCAACCATGACTCCAAAAGTGTTAGGAATTCCCAGCCCTAGTTTTGACTTTTGAAACAGATGTGGGTTCCTTATTCAGAAGCTGAAAATCTTAATTTGTCTAGGACAGACACCTGAGCGAGGTTCTTTCCCATGAGATTTCTCCAGCTAAAGTGGGTGCTGCCAGGCTTTTGTAAACTTCATGTTGTGGGATTAATGACAGCTACTTGTATTGGCAGAGTTAACTTGGTGAACAGTGCTTCCTGTCTCCCTGGGGTTTAGCTGGGCCATCAGTTACTCTCTGGGCACACGCTTCAGAAAGACCTCATTTGTTAGATCCTTCAGTGATTGGGATATGGCACTGCCAGACAGCACCAGTCAGGCCTGCCGCCCTGTGAAACTGAATGTGGTTCACAGTCTGCTTGGGAGCATGTGATGTGGTGTCTGGTGCCTTCCTCCCCTGCTGCCTATGTCTGGAGTGAGGTGAGGGAATCCCTCATCTAAAAGAGCATTGAATACCCAATCTACCCGGGGAAGTCGGAGGTGCTGGAGTTTCGAGCTGTGGCTTCTAATTCTGCGCAGCTGTCCATGTCACGTGGCCAGTTTACCTGAGTCGAGTTGCCGCCTTTTGGAGAATTATACTTTAGACATTCTCTCTTGTTCTGTTTCTGTTTCCTGCCAAGAGGGCCTGCCTGGGCTGTCATCCTTCTTCTCTCTCCCCACATGAGAAGCTACAGTCTGTCCTTGGGCTTCTACCTGAATTTGCACACAATATGCCCTTGCCATTTTTATAGATACTCACATGCCCTGAAAGCTGAGCCTGACTTTCAAGGCCTTGGAGCTCATGGACCAGTTAGCTAGAATGGCTTTCCCCAACTTCTTCTGGCTTGAAATGTGTAGAGATTTATCATGACCTGCCTGGGAAGTATTTTTGCAGTGGAAGGAGGAGCACGTTTCTGGGGCCCTCTTCTTCCATGGTTGGTGGCAATAATAGTAACAGTGATGGTGGTGACACTGTGGTGGGACCGTGTTACCAGGGAATGGGGATGTTTCTTGTTGCATATTTTTTCACATACCCTCACCTTTTTAATTGTTGAGATAATATATAAATGGAGGCTGATAGATTTCTTTTCTTTTTTTTTTTTTAAGATTTATTTATTTATACAAGCACTGGGTACAGTCAGAAGCGTGGGAGGGTGAGAGAATTCACCAGAGCCAGAGCGGGGAACAGAACAGGCAGACTGACGAAATACACTGCTGAGGGGAGCAGCGGGTGCGGCAGGAGAGGTCTGTTGCGCCATGTGGGACCCTCGCTGGCAGCCAGGCATCGAACCGGCCCTGCAGAGGCTGCGGGCAGCTTCGCAGCCCAGCGCTCAACCGCTGCGCCACCAGGGGAGGCCCCGATAGATTTCTTAATTAGCATCACCTTGCAGACTAATTCACCAGCGCATACTACATGGTGGCGATCTTTCTCTGGATATCTCTAGGTCATGCTGAGGGTTTTAGGCCTGCTTGTCTTCACATGTAGCATTCACACTGCTGCTGCTGAGTCTGGCTGCTGCCCATTGCCAGCTATCACCCCATGGCCTCATAAGGTAGAGCAGTTCTCTGCCATTACCTGCTCCCACCTGCACCACCTTTGCGGTCCTACAAGCAATTAGAAACCAGATCTTTAAGCTTCAAAAATTAGGAGCACTCTGCAACGGTAGTGTTTTTCAATTCTCAAATAATTTTGTTTCAAAGTACATTCACCTTCTACTCTCACCCTTTGCAAATGGGACCACATTTTTATCATCTTCATTCTTTGGTGAGGAACCTGAGGTTCAGAGTCAACAGCTGGTTAGCAGTGTCAGGGCCAGGAGGAGCGTGTAGGCCTCAGAACCCCTGGCCTGGTCTCCACTGCCCAACCGTGTCCCTCGCCCTGTCTCTTTGCCTGTCTATCTCTCACCAGCAGGGTTTACCAGGCCTCAGAACCCCTGGCCTGGTCTCCACTGCCCAACCGTGTCCCTTGCCCTGTCTCTTTGTCTGTCTATCTCTCACCAGCAGGGTTTACCCCTCCTTCCACACTCACCCCACCCCAGCCAAAAGACTGAGATAATGGCAACTGACACAGGAATTAACAGCCACCACGTTTGCTTTGCACCACACTGTAGTATTTTCACATGACCAAGACATCTACTCACGTATTTCTGGAAAGCAGTGGGGCCTGAGGGAGAAGAGGGGCACAGAGCCAGCTGTGGCAGCCTGCTCAGAGGGTGGCCCCAGCAGTGGTGAGTCTGGTCACAAACTGCCCTCCCAGTCCCAGGGCAGCCTGCTGGGCTGGAGGCGAGGCTCTCTCTTGGCAGCTTTCCTTGCTGCCTGGGGTTGGAAGGAGGGAGGAAGGTTCCCGCCTACACGCAGGGTGGGTGCATAACGCTGGGTAACATAGGGCTCAGACTCCTCGGGCTTCCCATGTTTTTTCGGGGCTCTGGCAGTGTTTTAGTGGTTGGGAATGGAGGCTGCCTGTGTGCTCACTAGCTCAGGTTAGGGGAAACGCCCCTTTTGCAGCTGACCATTGCTGCTCTGCTCTGTGCCTGGTTAGCACTGCAGTGCGCCCTCCTGCCTGCTTATCTACCTCAGAGGCTTTAACGATCATCATAAATTCAGCCTGCTTCATACCAAAGAGGTTTTTTTATCTTTAGAGCAGTGTGCAAGAAGATGGCTAATGCAGCAAGACATTTTCTTTCTGGAAGAATTTGTGCAGACAATATACAAACTCTATTCTCCTTGTTGCTTGTTAGTAGTTCTTCTTCAGTGATTTTTTAAAAAATATTTTAGATTTATTTTTTGCATAAAAGAACTGGGGTGTAGGTCAGAGGTGTGGGGGAGTGAGAAAATTCACTAGAGACAGAATGGGGAGCAGAACAGGCAGACTGAAACACACTGCTGAGGGGAGCAGCGGGCGAGACAGGAGAGGTCTGTTGCGCCATGTGAGTCACCTCCCTGGCTGGGGATTGAACTTAGGCTGTAGAGGTAATAGCGCCGAGACTTAAAACTTAACCCCTAGGCCACCAGGGAGGCCCTTTTTATTATATTTTATGGTTAAAAATTTGCAGTAGTTGCAAAATCTTAGCATAGCTAACAGTTTGTAAAGTTGTCTCCTATAGAGGATCGAAAACATAAAAAGAAATTTAATGCTTTTATAAATGTTTCTAATTATTCCCAGCAACTTAGGAGGGCAAAGTAGGCGCCACTGGTATTGGTGGGGAGCAAGTCAGTTGATGATTTAAATTTGACAAGGAAAAGTCATATGGTTAACAACACAGTTTAATGATTTCATTCCATAATATTTTCTGTATGATTTGGTCACAGAGACATGGGATACAAAGACATTTTCTTTTCTTTTTTTTTTTTTTAAAGATTATTTATTTATACAAGCACTGGGTACAGTCAGAAGCGCAGGGTGGGTGGGGCTGGGGTGAGAGAATTCACCAGAGCCAGAGTGGGGAACAGAACAGGCAGACCGACAAAATACACTGCTGAGGGGAGCAGCGGGCGCAGCAGGAGAGGTCTGTCGCGCCATGTGGGACCCTCGCCGGTGGCTGGGGATCGAACCCGCGCTACAGAGGCAGCGGGCAGCTTCGCAGCCCAGCGCTCAACTGCTGCACCACTAGGGGAGGCCCAGACATTTTCTTACAGGAGAAGCTCATACCTTGTTTTGACTTACTGATGGGAGCTGACTTGGGCCATGCTGCTTTGGTGGTTGATTTGAAAGAAAATGTGTAGCTCAATAGAGTTCTTTCCAGTCTTCAGGGGAGACTGGTTCCAAATCTATTATTTTTGGGCAAAGGAATTAACTGTTACCTGTCTCTCATGACAGACCAAGCAACCCTCCAGTGTGAACCCATCTTATATGACTAGATATCCCTGGGGAGGGCTGTCTTTTTAGATTAGAATTCCTTCTTTACTCAACTTAGATTAGAATTCCTTCTTTACTCAACTTAGATTTGAGAATGTCTTCTTAGATAGTGCTCTGATGAAAGAAAAAATGTGGCTTTTTCTTTCCTTTTAATTGTGCTTTTAGCTTTAGAGAGAAAACTCTGAAAGCATGAACATGTGGAAGCCATCTAGTTCTCTACAGGGAGATCTGTACCTCACATTTACCTGTCCCTGTGTTCTATACCAGCCCAGGTGCTATATATAAACCTGTTTAACTGCAGAAATGAAACCCAAGCAAACAACGACTAATCTTTGTTTCAGCCACTCCCAAGGATTCCAACAGTCTCAAAGGAAGACCACGATCCAGGTAGCGTTTACTTTCTGCTGCAACGCCCTGTGTGCCCTGCCCCTGCCTAGACACACCTCCCTCCCCCCAGCCTGACCCATGGTGTCCTTTTCCTTCAGATTTCAAGCTTAGAATATGGGTGAGTTCACTATCTTGAGGTGAGCACACACAGTGTGCTGTGGGGACTCTGAGCGCCCATGCTTGTCACTGCTGCAAGAGTGTGGCTGCTGTGCGCTGGTGCCAAAGACAAGGCTTGTGTGACACCACCCCATTGTGGGGGTGATAGCTACAAGGGGGAAGTGGCTTTGAAAAGAGGTTAATAGGGCGAGGACTTGACTGATACTGATTCTGATACAGTCAGTTCTGCATGCCCTGCCTTGCCGTTCTTGCCAGCGATGTTATAGGGACCCCCCCACCCCATCAGAGCAGTGTCACATGCTGTTCTGGCGACTTTTTTAAAGATTGCAACCTTACGTGACAAACCAAACTCTTGACTACCGTGAAGAAACCTTGAGCAACTTGTTCAGGGAAATAAATATCAGAAGGAACTTTACCAAGAATTGAAGACACTTAATAGTAGTTGATGGATTGTAATTTCCTGAGTGCCACTCCAATGGCTAAATACGAAGAACAATTTTCTGAGGTTAATTTGTCTCTAGGACACATCTGTGACTCAAAAGGTCATTTTCTATTTTGACATGAAGTTAGCCAAGAAGCTCAATAGAACAGATGTACACATCCTCTTCTTAGAAAACCGTAATGGGAGCCCATCTGGAAACCTATTCCTAAGCCATAGACGAATGTACTGAGTTGAATTGATTTAGAAAATGAGTAGGTCTCTAATAAACAGTTGAACCGCTACTGCCAGAACATTTCTTTCCTGACTCATAGGCAGTGTTGGAAATGGTTCCATTTGAAAAATGGATTCAGGAACAGAAAAAGACCGGAGTTTGAATGGAACCTGGGCCGTTTTCTAGCTATGTGATCTTTGGCAAGTTACTTAGTTCCTTTTTCTTCAAGTGTCATTACTGCGGTTATAATCGCAGAAGCTGCCCAGTTAGGTCCTGCCTTGCTGCAGGTTGAGGGAGAAGGTTAAGGTGAGGCTTTGGCTTTAAAACTTCCCAGAAACCCATATTGCTTGTGTGGACACTCCCTAGACCTCTCAACCTGATTGACGTGTGTTTTCCTTTCCTGAATTTCATGTGTGGCATATTCCCTTGAACATTGGAATCTTAGCTCTCAGCTTATCTGTCCCCATCCCATCTGGGCCTGCCAAGTCATTTGCATGTAAACAGGAGAAAAGTTCTGCAATTAGTTAATAGGAAGCCATTCTATTAAATACAGAAGCAGAAGAGTTTATGTTTTATTCTTATTAACGATTCCAATAGAAACTGAATGGAATTCACAGAAAGCTTCCCCTTCGGGTAAGCTGAGGTCTAAGGTATAGTACAAAGAGGTTAGAAAGATTCTGATTCCTTTACTGCAGATAACGGCACCCAAGGGACAATAGAATTCAGCTTGGGGGTGTTTCCGTTTCTGACCAACTTGAGAGAGTAAAGCTCTGCTGTCTCCCTTCTGGCCCTCCCTTGTTTTGCTGCAGATCTTACTCTAGCACCTCTATAGAAGAGGCCATGAAAAGGGGCGAGGACCCTCCTACTCCGCCGCCGCGGCCACAGAAAACCCATTCCAGAGCCTCCTCCTTGGATCTGAATAAAGTCTTCCAGCCCAGTGTGTCAGGTGAAGTGCCCTTCTGCACCCCCAGCCCTTCCCTTTCCTTTCGGGGTCGGTGGAGGGGGTGTCTGCTGCAAGGGCCTCTGCGGCCTGCGAATGCAGAGCTGGCCATTTCCGGTCCAGGAGGCCTGCGTGTTGTGCTGGTATTCTTGGGCGGGAATAGCTCCGGGCAGCTCTACAGCACCTGTGTCTGGACCCTTGCCTGCACTTGCTCTGGATCAAGAATTACGGAATTCTGTACCAAGAAGATAAAACTTTCAACCCCAGACAACCACTGAGTGTATGGCTGGGGTCTTGTTCTCAGCGTCGTGGTAATTTGTATACAAGATTGCTTTCTGCCATTTTCTTAGACACTTACACAGTTCTTCTGTGAAAGATCTTGGTAATCAGCACCTGGCCAGAGCCATCTGCAGTTTATCCTTGTGGCAGAGTCTGTGTCCTGCAGGGTCGCGTGCTAAGAGCTCCATTTTCTGCATTGGACTGATGGCCAGGGGGCCGGTGCTGGCATCTCGGGCAAGAGCTCCATCAGGGGGGCTACTCTGGGCTTGTGGGGGCCAGCCTTTCTTGAGGCAGCTGCTGTACAGCTGGACTGGAGCGGGGGAGCATGGAGGGGCCCGTGTCTGCCCCACCCCCATCCCTGTGAAGTGGGAGGCGTCCTCCTGGGGAACCTATGGATGAGAATTGTGCGTTTGTTTGAGTAAAGGGTCTCGGGGACTGCACTGTCCCAAGTGTCATTTTGGGAGCAGCAAGCGCCTTTCCACGGACGGAGGCAAGCAGGCTCGAAATATAGTCATTTCCTGGAACTTTGTCTGTGTCTTTGTGCATTTTAAATCAAGCCAGCCTCAGATGCTAGTGATTTGCAGATTATTATCTTTTCAACTAAAGCAAGAAAAGACTCTCCTTGGCTCACACATTAGCATGACCTCTATGTCCCACCAGAGCTCAGCATGTTTTATTTGTTCTAATAAAGTGCTCTCTTCACAGTAAAGTTATAGATTGTTTTTTAATATACTGAAATCTGGAACTCTCTATGAAATCTGATTCTCTGCCATGAGTTCATCAGATAAAAATTGCCTTGGACTTCCCCCCATACTTTGATCCCAATTCTGGCATACTTTCAGAGTAACTGGTATTTGGGGTTGGGAGTAGCCATGGGTGATGATGCTATAAAAATTTCACATGGCTTGTGGATTATGACCTAGAAAATTTTTCTATGGAAGCAAGAAGATTCAAACAACCAGGGCGGCTATCTCCACGTGTTTCCCTTCCAAGGAGAGGCTGGAAACGTGCAGGTATCCTCAGCCCATTGGCAGCCTGGGAGGAGGTGCCCGCGGAACTGAAGGATGGATGTGGTGAGGCTTTCACACTAGTCCGTCACCCAGCGGAAGAGACCAGCGTGCATTTGGTGTCCAGTTTGGCTGCAACTGGCTGATTTTCAGCGAGAGGTTTTATCTTTCTGTAGCTCAGATGCCTGGTGTACAGGGTAGCGTCAGCGCTTCCCGGAGCCGTAAGGGCTGGTGAGATGACAGCGCCGTGTGTGGCCCCGTGGCCTGCACCCGCCAGCGCCTTCCCTTCCCCAGAGCAGTCCTCTATCAACCAGGAAGAGGGGTTTGAGGATGAAGCCCCCAGACTCCTCGACCCCACCCCCTGCAGGGGAGTGGTGTGACTTATTGTTCTCCGTGGTTCCTTGGGGGACTCTCAGGAACTGAGCCCCAGTTGCCGGCCATAGCACACCCCTTCTTTGAATTTTCTTCCTCCTTTCTCCGTCCCCCCCATGCTGTCTCACTTTCCTGCTCCAGAGGAAATTCCTATTCCCAAGTCCCAGTTCTCGGGGCCGCTTTAGGGAGAAGCTGGACTACAACAACTGCTTTTGACATCTCCAGTGTTGAGGGGCCTTCAGGATGAGAAGTATTTTGGCTTGTTAAATGCCAAACAGTAGCTGAGATGGTGACATCTGTATTCACAGCCCAATTCCACTGTCTTTCAGTACAGGTTTACACAAATGAAATTTTAATGAGCAGCTTAAATCAAGCATTTCTGTAGTATGAAAAGCAGGTGGTGTCATTGCATCTACTTAATTTGTTTCCATGTTGGTTAATTCTCACAGGAAAATACAAGGCTCTGTTTAAATTATGCAAAATTTCAGTGTATTGCATACCACTACAAATTACTTATTAAAATTCTAGCAAGTGAGGAAAGCGTGAGGTAGAATATAAACCTGTCCGAAAGGGGCACCCAGTGAGCACCATGGGGCTCCAGTGCCGTCGCTGCACTTGTGTTTATGTGTCACTGCCATGACCTGGGCCCCACTGCGCTTGCTGTCGTGTGTCCTGTGCTTCCCCGCTCACCATCTGTTTCCTAGGAGAGAGCAGCTTCATTTCCGTTACTGCCTGCATGAGGTGGATACGCCCTGGTTGGTGGTGTGTGGAGATTTTTCTCCCTCTTCCCCTCCCAGCTCTCTCTTCCTAGCTCGCCCACTGCCCGGGCCCAGCCTGCTCCAGCCTGCTCCTTGGTCCTGTGCTCACCCCCCTTCCTTCTCACCTCTGCCATGTGTCTTCCTGACACCTCTCTGTCCTCTCTTGAGCTCCTTCCTGCTCCCCCTCTTGCTCTCCCTCCCCTGCTCTCTCTCCCTCCTCAGTGGGGAGGAAGGCTCCACCCTCAAACCTCAGGCCACACTGCTGGCCTAGAGGCAGAGCTTGTTAGCGACTCGACTTCCCCGACCAGGCCTTGGTTTCCTCATCCACTTAACTTTCTTGGGCCTAAATCCTACCTGTTGGTGTTGCTGAATCGAAGCCCGTCGATGTTTGGAATGTAGATGTGTCACCACACTGTGCGGAGGCGGTGGAAGACTGTATCCATCACCTTACCCTCGGCTACATTGTCCAAGAGCCTTTCCTCACAGCCTGCCAGCGCCAGTTCACATTCATCTTCTGAATCATTACTAGCCTGAGAGGCGAAAGTTCCACATCATTCCTGGCCATTCCTACTTATTCTTTATTGAAGTATAATTTATAGAACATAAAATTTACCCATTTTAAGTTTACAACTGAGTGATTTCTAGTAAATTAGTCATATTGTGTTACTGTTACCATAATCCAGTTCTAGAACGTTTGCAACACACCCCAAATAGCTCTTACGCCTGTTTGCAGTTAGTTCCCAGGCCCTTCCCTAGGCAACCATTACTCTATTTTCTATTTCTACAGATTTACCTTTTCTGGACGTTTCATGTAGTAAGTAGAACCATACGACATGGAGTCTTTTGTGTCTGGCTTCCTTTACTTTGTATAATGTTTTTGCAATTCATCCATGTTGTAGCACGTATCAATATTTTATGAACAAAATTGCTGAATAGCGTTCCTGGATATGGCTGTACCACATTCTGTTTCTCCACTCTTCAGTTTAATGGCCATCTAAGTTGCTTCTATATTTTTGCCTATTATGAATAATGCTAGCATGAACATTTGTGTGCAAATCTTTGTGTGAATACATGTTTTCATTTTTCTTGGCAAGATACTTAGGAGTGAGATTGCTGGGTATATGTTAAATTTATGTTTTACTTTTTAAGAAACTGCCAAACTGTTCTAGAGGATCTGTACCATTTTACATTCCCATCAGCATTGTATGAGGATTATTGTTTCTTCGCATCTTTGCCAACACTAATCATCTTTTTAATTATGTTTTACTATAGCCACCCCAGTAGGTGAGAGGTGGTACCTGATTTTGGTTCTGATATGCATTTTCCTGATGATGAATGATGTTGAACATTTTATCTTGTGCATGTTAATGATTCCTAGATCTTTGGTGAAAAGTCTGCTTAATCACTTGCCTGTTTTATTGTTTAGTTGCATATTTTGGAGTTCATTACATATTCTGGATACAAGTGTTTTTTTTTTTTTTTTTTTTTTTTGTGGGACCCTTGCCAGCGGCCAGGGAACGAACTGTCGCTGCAGAGGCTGCAGGCAGCCTCGCAGCCCAGCACTCAACTGCTGCACCACCAGGAGAGGCCCTGGATACAAGTTTTTTTATTAGTTATGTGATTTGCAAATATTTTCTAGTATGTGACTTGTCTTTCCATTTCCTTTATGAAAAGTGCCAAAGTTTTGAATTTTGATGAACTGTAGTTTATCAGCTTTTCCCTTTTTGGATCATGCTTTTGTTGTTATATTTAAGAAATCTTTGCCTAACCCAAGGTCTTAAAGATTTTTCTCCTGATTTTTTCCAAAAGTGTTATAATTTTAGCTCAGATATTTACATCTCAAATCTATTTTGATTTAACTTTCGTACGTAGCATGAGGTAAGCCTGTTAGTTATCTCTTTGTATGTGGATATCCAGTTGTCCCAGGACCACTCCTAGAAAATACTCTCCTTCCCTATTGACATGCCTTGGCACCCTTGTCGAAAATCACTTGACTGTAAATATATGGAGGTTTATTTCTGGACCCACCCTTCTGTTCTGTTGATCTATATTTCTATTCTTATGCCAGGGCCACACTGAATATTTTTCCAAGTGGGGGAGCCATATGTAGTCTTGTGAAGAGGTGATCACATGACACAGGAGGCTAAATATTTGCTACAGTGGCACATTTTTAGGTAGTGTCTAGATCTTATTTATCTGGCTTTGCAGTGTCTAGCATATCCATAAGCATGCCTTCTTTGAAGTTGCAGTATTTTCTTGCTTTGGACCCTTCTCTCGTGCTTATCCCCTAAATAGAGAGTAACCCCTATCCAGCTGCTTATCCCCCATGTCAGCGCCCTCTTTTGCTCTTTACCACTTCCTGTCCTGTAGGTTCAAAATGTTTCACAGTGATCTTGTGGTACTGGTGATACCATTTTGCTTCTGCAGGCCTTCATTTTCTCTCTGCAAAGTGAAAGAATTGACTTTGATTTCATTAGTTTTCCATTAATATTTTCTCTGTTCAACAATTCCATGGTGTGTTTAAGTTCACTGCTCTCAGCTGGTTTTAAAAATGGTTCTTTTTAACAGAGAATTTAATGAGCTTGTATTT